GTATTCGATCGAGATGAAACAATCCAAGCAACCCGGCGTTGAAAGGACCTTTTCTTACTCCACACCCTTCTCAAAGCAGTAGCTCCAGGAAGGTTGGACACCAGGTAGCTGGGTTTCGGTATGTCATGACCGAACGCCCGCATCCAGGTCACAAGCCTTTTCAGCTTCAGAGCACTAATCAGGCTTGCCATCCATGGAAAATGTTCCATCTTGCTGGATTTCGGTTGCTCGATGATGTAGTACACGCCACGCCAGTGCGCTATGGCCAGCAGTAACATTGTATTTCTCACAAGTGCATTGGCGCACCTGACGACTAGTTTGCCAATGTCGCCTACCGTGTTGAAGCTTGTACGCTGATGAACACTCTGCGAGATCCAAATCCAAAGACCGCAAGGAGGCCCACAAAGAATCAGCGCTGAGGGGTAGAGTGCTAGGATCAATGCAAGCGCGCAATAAAATCCTTGCTTACTCGTCACATCATGCTCGGAAGGGTTGTCCTCAACGTCATAGGTCTCACAGCTGTAGCCAAATTTTTTGAAGGTTTTCGAAGCCATCCCAGCGCCACTATACATGTCGAAGAAGTGCAAACTTCTGGCCCCCCGCCAGTTCTGGACGAAACTGAGGATCTCATCCAAGTGGAAGCGTGCATCCCACGGCTCTCCGTTGCTGGTCGGCATTTTGTGCAAGACTCCGGAACAACTTAAAAAAATTAGGGTTGCAGGGTTCACAATACCAAGTCTTCAATTTCATCCTGGGGTTGGTCCTTCAAAGATTCTAGCATCTCTAGTTTCCGGTACACAGACATAGCCCAATTTTGGCGGCTCACAGAACGGCACACCTTAGCAATTGCTCCGTTATAGGATTCATCAATGTAGGTTGTGTATGCTCGAGGATTCCCCTTTTGGCAGGCTTTCTGAATACAATGATACATGAGGTGTGTTTTTGGACTGATCGACACACCTGCTCTGGCCGAAAGATACACAAACTCATTGTAGCGGTTGTAGAGCTCAGACAAAGCCTGGTTCCCAATTGAACGGCCATGTTTTGCCAAGATCTCGTCAAACTCAAGAGCACATTGTCCTGCTAGCTTTAGCAACCTGAACTGTTGGTTCTTCTCGGGATCGCTTGCCATCAACGAAGCTTCATGTTTGTGCAACATCTCTACAGCAAACTNNAAACTGAAGTAGACCGTGGGTCTCAGCAGCTTTGCACTTCAGTTGACGCTCAGCAATCATGGTGAGCGTGAGATTCCACACCTTTAGGGGGCCCAATTCCAAGTTAAAACCCAGAGGCTTTTGTAGAATCATCTATCTTTTGCTATTTGGGAGAAAAAGTTCAGGGTAATTGCAGTTGGAAAATTCTACCCATAGCACGGTACACAGCCCTAACAAACCACTATGCCCACCTCAGACCCTTTCTTGCTCCAGTTTACATCTGTTGCCCGTCTGCGCTTATAATGGGTCCACAGCTCAGCCTTCAACGCTAAGAGGCATAATTTGTCGCACTCTTCTTTGTCTAGCATAGCTGCTAGCGCAGGGCGGAAGATTGGGCTCGTAAGCAATGCTCGGATTGTGAAGGCCAAGTATGTTGACATCGGGCCGAAGTGCCAGCTATGGAGCAAATCAATAGACCAGCTTGCTAAGCCCACCCCTGGAATTCGAAGCAATGGTGATTTGTGTAAGACTCGTCCATGCAAGCCGCCGACATAGAAAGTGCAAACAAAAGGTGTCTGCATTCTTTCGAACAACCCAATGTCCGGGAGAGAGTCAGAAGGCTAGCACCTGCAGGCAGGCCCATAAACGGTTTTCGCAGGCAGCGCCCACGGCCTTTTTTTCGATAGAGCAACAGGCTGTAAACAGCGTGCTGCATGCTCGCATCCGAAATTTCAACATCCTTGCAAGCATAGGCCCCGGCAATAACAGATATCTAAAATTACAGCGTATCTTAATAATGGGAAACAAACCAACATGGTACATTCTTTGAACACTGGAGGGACTCGAAAGTTGGCTTCAACCGTTGCGGCATACAAGTGTTGGTCGAAGGGCTCATGCTTGCACGTGTTCTGTGTGAATCCTCCANNCTTCTTAGTGACCATGCAGCAGGGACAGCAATGTAAGCTGTGAGACCACGTTCTGAGGCCAGTGAGTTCAACAAATGCAGGCCAATCAGCCTTGATGTCTATGATGGGAAGTCTGAGGTCAGGGTGCTCCATTGAAAGATCAGCCCGAAAGT